CTTTTTACAAGGCAGCTGCTTGTAAGAACCTTGAGAAAAGATCATGCTTAGCTCACAGTTTCTAAGTGCAGTATCACTGTCTAAGTGATAGTATCACTATCACTCACAAAATTGGCCATTTTGTGATTACTGTGGAAACACCAGCAAGTAGCTCACGTGACGAGTGGTCAGAAGTCAGCTGACCACCTCAAAGCTGTCTTTTCAGAGAGGAAAAGCATTTCACATTAAAATCTGTCATATAGAAAACTAATTAACAAATCCCTCAGGAAAGAATTATTGTATGGGATTTGTCTCTGAATATTCCAAGCACACAACTTTTAAGTGGCTTTATTCAAAAACTGTATTCTCTTAGATTTTCATTGTTGTGTTCACTGACCTGAAGAGCCTGAAACTGTGGTGCAAAATATAATTCTAAAACCTATTTTCTGATGAAATGAGTTTGCTGTCCTACAGCTTGGAGTCATCCCTTCGGATATAAATGCATATATGACCCCTCAGAAAATAGACTAATCGATGAAACAGACTGAAGTTGGCACTTTTATCGAAGAGTCTTTATGGAGCTAAACAGTTATTATTTAATTAATGTGTGGAAGTATTCAACTGGAACATGCCTTCATAAAAAATGATGAGAATAAATTTGTATCGTAACACGTCTGTGATCAGAGTGAGAAGTAGGGTTCAACTCGTCAAAGAAAGCTCAGGGATTGTGTGTTACATACTCTTTGAAGCCTCTGAAAGACTCTTTTATGTGACCGCGAATGCGTGTGCTACATCATCAAGTATTAATAGGGGAGAAAGACAGCAACTGTTGTCATATGACTTCTTTCTTGTCCGTAAAACCATACGTCAGCAGAAGTTGTGGGCTTTTTTTAATGTCACTTAAGGTTGGCACCTTTACTGGAATAAATAAAATGTATGAGGATAGTCATCTGTATCTGACTGAGAGCTGAATAGTGGTATGTGATTTTTACCTTTCAGCTGAATCAGATAGAGATACTAAAGTTTTTCACAGAAAGACTGTTTAGTTTCTCAGAAACCCTTTAGAGGTTTATGAACCTGATCCAAAGCCTATTGCAGTTGGGAAAATTCCTGATTGAGTTTTTGATTGGGCTGTACCAATCTTATTGATCTATTTATATAACCTTTTCATGAGTAAAAAAATTTGTCTTTTAGATGTGCAAAAACTTGAAGACTTAATTTTGAAGCTGTTAAGATTCCAGTATTTTCTGCAATGTTAAGCAGCAGATATCTTGTGCTTTGTGCAGGTAAAGGTACAAGCTCCAGTGCCCAGCCTGAAATCTATTGCAATTGTTTAACCAAAGCATCAGCATTAAGACACTGCACTCCCAGGCTGGAACTGTTGTGCAGAGATGGCTGGATGGCATTATGCATCAGCTGACAGAGTATAGGTCAGCAAAATAAGGCTTGTTTAAGAGTGATTTGTAAGCAAGAATAGAAATGTCCTTACTGACTCCAATCTCTGATGACAAATATGGGCAAGGGACTGTGGGGAAGCTGAAAGTTTTAGGGGTTGGTGACAGCAACTAGGAGAATTGTTCGGGATTTTCGGCAGATCATGGCTGTCTCTGAAGACCTTGAACCTTAATACGACCTCCAACTCCTGTTGGAGACCTCTCAGTCTCCTAGCTGCAAAGCATTAAGGGCATTACCTGTCCACACCCATCTTCTGGACGTAGCAGAGCTTAATAAAAAGTGAAGGTGAAATGTCTTTCATTATGATCTTCTTCTAAAGCTTCACCATCCTAGTCCATCCTGATGCAGTCTGTGCTATTCCAGTGCAGTAACAGGCCTTTGAGAAACGTTTCTATGATTCTGTGAAACAAGGGGGTGGAGAAATGCTGGCCTACGCTTTGCTATTGCACTAAAACAGTGATCTCACTAAAGTCATGTGGCGCTGGCCAAGTGTTCCTTTAAAATTCGGAAAAGAGAAGGGTGCTAGATCACAAGTCGCTGTGCAGGGGTGACATTGCCTTCTCAACAGGGTGGCACGGTGTGGGTGGAACTCCTCACTGAAGTGGTTACACTATTTCGTCTCCTGGAATGTGTTTATTTACAGGTAAACCATTATCTCTGCACAAAGTTGGGCTCTGGTTCGTCATTTGAGGTGAATAGTAGCCACAGATAGAAAATTCTGTGCTGGAAATGTCATTGGAAATGGTTGGGAAAGGGTATACAAGGTGAAAAAGTTTGGTAGGTTACACGCGAGCTGACTTTAAGTTGTAATGTTGAAGATGTGTAATGTGATGCCACTTGCTCCTGGGAGGCCAAGAAAGAGCTGGGGAAACCTTCATTAATATGGGCAGGAGATGCAGATCAGGGCTGTGGCTTTTTGTAGTGAAGGCACTAAGAGAGCCCAGAAGTCTGTAAAACGCTGCAGTGCACCATGTTGAAAAGCTGAGCTTGTTTCTTGGTCTTTGTCCGAGAAGGTGGTGCACATTTGGTTCAAGTATTTACTTGTTTTGAGCAGAGGTCAGGATTGAGCCACGAGTGCTGAATGAAATAAGATTTTTTAAAAGAAGAAGGACCTTAACAGGCTGTAAATATTTCTGCTTTGACTGGCAAACAATCATTAAAAGCCTTTATTAAATTTTGTGTCTGTTCTGTTCACCACTTGCCATTTCTTTTAATTCTGAAGGATTATAACTAAGAATGAATGAGTCTTCTCTAATATAGTCAGGACACAACAAATCTGTGAAAGAACTGAATTATCTTTCTCCCTCATAGGCAAATTTTTCCAATTGTTTAACAAAATGTTGTTTTGTATTGCCATGACATCAGTCTTTACGCCTGTGAATAATGAGGCTCAACATTAAGCAACTTGTTTATAAAATACAGTCATGCAGTAACAATTAGAGAGTGTTTTATGCGCTTCCCCACTAGAGTCCATACCCTCTCCTCCCACTTACTGCTCTTCCCACTGCAATGTGAAGTTATTTGTGTCTTCGGAATGAGAAAACGGATCTTGTTGGTGAAAGGGTGAAAAATTTCCTGAGTTCTGCCATATAGAAGTTGGCGTCTGTTGGTCTGTAGAACAGGATCTCTGCTGTGCTGATCCAAGAATTAGTCAGCCCTAGAGTGGAAGATGGCAGCTCACAGTACCTGAAGAAGGAGACTATCACACAAAGCTTCCCACTACAGAGAAATTGCTACATCCGTCATCATCCTTTCAACCCAGTTAATACAGTTGTATTAGCCCTGTGCTCCAGTTCCTCCCCCAGCTCCCAGCCCACCTCCTTTTTAGTGCGAAATGTGTTTGAATCTTCAAAGTAGCTACATTTCAAAATACGTTTTGCTCGGTGCCAAGAATAATCACAGTCGTCTGGGATAAAGCACATCACAAAGCCTGAAATGGATCTGCAATACTTTGGGGGGATGAAGGGTACTGGATAGATCCAGAATCTGACCAGGTTTGAGAAGCATTACAAAGTCTTTCCATTTGGTTAAAATACTTCCACATAACTAGAATAACAGGTCCTAATCATACCTTGTGATACCAGCACAGAGCTAACATGAAGAGGGTTTTCATAACTCTGAAAAGGAGACAAACAAGGTCCTGCCTTTCAAAACAGTGTTCATATGCCTTGTAGGTTGAGTTCCAGCTGCGTTGAAGAAAGTGATTAGAAATACTGGAATGGCTCTTTCTATCACTTAAAAACAAAACCAATACCCCTCAATGTAATTTTCCAACAAGATTCAGAAAAGAAATTGGTAGTCACTCACAAAATGGGTGTGATGGGTATGGGGGAATGGCAACTCAGTAGTAACCAGGGCAACTTAGCCAGGCTGTGAAAAAAAAAATCCACTGTGAGTCAGAGTATTTCCCTATCGCTGGGCTGTAGGGGAAGGTGAGGTCTTGGGGCTTTTCTCTGCAGAAGCTGTCCCACCTTCTCTAATACTTTGCACTAGCAACAACAAATGTAAGCTGTTGAGGAGTGTGGCCACCGAAGAACGTGGAGCACCTTGGTTCTGAAATGTTGTACAAAAATGGCACAGCTCCAACAGGAGAGGTGCCGTGTAACTCGGTGAGTAGGTGCTCCTCTCAGGTGTGGGGGACAGGTTCAGGTTTCTCCTGAATCATCCTTTCTTGATGAATGTCTTATAACAGAATGTATTAGTCTAAGCCAGTTACTTCATTCCTTCACAAATAGTGCTGCTCCTGGTGTTCCCTTGGATAGGCTGGGTTCAGATTCACTGGAAATGAAATTGTATTTTTCTTTTTTTGGAACTACCAGTGAATTGAAAAATCATTTATTCCCACAGCACTAATAGTAGGCGACTGTTCATGGTGACAGAAGGAGAAAGAGTTATCTAAAGGTCAAAAAGATGAGTTTGGGGAGTAAATACGTTGTTATAGCAAGTGTGACCTAGTATGATACATTTAGAGTAATTTTAGAAAAGTCTTTCTTATTCTATACTCAGTCCAAGAAATATATTTCAAGTGAGATTTAATGAACAACTTGCAGCTGGTACAGGCATCTTAAATGACACCATCTTAAAAATCATATCCAGGGGCGGGCCAAGGTTTCCAGGTGAACAAGCCCATAATGAAAAGTAGCAAATACTCTCAACTCTTCAAAGGTTGCCAAGTATATTGTGGTCTTCAATTGTAAATAACCCACCATAAGTACTCAGACAGCTGGCAGATTGTACCGTCATTAACCAGTGATCTCCAAACTGGTTTGCAAGAGGAAAAGCTGCAGGAGCAGAGTTCCCAGTGATGATATTGGCAGGTGTGGTGTATTCAATTAGAAGTTTGATGATAAGTGTCCCTTGTCATCTGTGGTGGAGGAAATATAGTGGTATAGTCTGTTATTCCAAAATGTTTAGATGTCACTGCCAAAAAAGACCTCCAACTTGAGGAGCAGGTTTTGAAAGTGAATGAGAAGATGCTTGTTGCTTTATAAAAACCCAGCTTGGTCACCAGAGGTAGGGACTGCGCAAGTATGCTGACCATTGCTGTTTTTTCACTTCTATTTTAGCTGGATGCTGAGAAGGCAAAATTAAAACTGGAAAGATGGGCTTCCCGAGATGCTGGCAGTGGGGGTGGCAGAAGTGAAGAGATGGAGTCGAGCGGGGACTGTGATGATGAGGATGGCTGTCAAGGATCCGGTGACAGGATTCACACAGCAGGTAAATACAGTTTCTATAGGCACATACAATGCTTAGAAATTTGTAGATGTCACAATTAGGTGGACAGAGCTAAGACTGGCTCTGCTTGAATTACTGCCAAAGTCTTACTAAATGCAAAGGGTTCGAATCTTAATCTGTGAAAAGCTGCAGTAAAAATAGAATGATACAGATAGTAACACAATATAATTTAACACTTGGTGTGCAGAAAAAAGACTTAAATTTAGAGTGAATAATACCTGCAATGACATCCAGATCACAGAAACACTGGAAGAGCCTTCCTAAATGATACGGGCTCTTCAAATAAATAGAAAATTAATGTCCTTATAGACTGTGCTAAGTGTTAACATAAGTATTTATTGGTTGCTTGATGACACTGAGGATGGTCCGAATAGAGTTGGCTTCCTAAAGTATATGTTCTTGAAAAAACACATGAAGTACTGTTTTTTTTCCAGTGATGAGCTGCTGGTTAAATAAAATTTCTTGATAGTCTCAGATATGCATTCTGCAATATTTATTCATAAAATTACTTGATAATGTCATCAAATGTAGAATCAGCATCAGAATCTAACTTAACTTCCACCAAATACTGGCAATTTAATACGTAGTTAAGTCCTTGCTATAGTAAGTAAATAAGAAGAAAGACGTTTCCTTCTAAATACTTGATATTATTGTTTTATCTTATCTGGAAGTTCTGATTCATTTCAGCTTATCAAAATGTAACTGCTTTAATTACCATAGTGTGTGTAAATATAATTTGGTTTGGATGTGCAAGTATATGAAATACAGGTATAATAGCGTTGAAAATTAATGCTCATTAAGGTGGCTGGAACTCAGGTAAGTTTTAAATTGCTGCTTCATTCAGCTGAAATAAGCAAGTGCCTCTTCCTTGTCCCTTTACCACTAAGTGGAGAGTGGGAAAAAGTATTCCATATTCAAGACTTGCAAACGAGCTGTGATTAGTCTGTAGTCAAGACTTCAGTTGTTCCTATTATGAATATTTGTTCAGGAAAACAGATTAAACATGTATTTTGAAATGTGTGCAAAATGTTAGGTTTAGTTTGCAGTACCAGGTTATAAATAACTGAAATTTAATTTGCGTTGACGAGCTGCGTGATCAAGATACAAGAGGTATTATAACACAGGGACGGTATTTTTAAAAATTATTAAATGATTGCAACTAACAGATCAAGTAAAGATTTTCACCATCTACTCACCAATGTTTTTGAACAGAAGAACCTTGATACAATGTTATTTTAAAACTATTTGCTTAACTTTTAAAAATTGGTTATTGTGTTATATGTATAAGCCATGAAAAGACTGCTAGATCTGTGGGCCTTGGGGATTTGTGAGGGTAAATATTGTAATGTGCTTTCCTCTCCATGTGGAATAACACAAACGAAAGCCAGGTGCTAACTACTCTTCAGTGAACAAGTGAACCATTAACACGCTGTTTGGGGAGGATGTGGATGCATGCTTACGTGGACAATGGCAGATTTCAGGTGTTCAAAAATAAAAACTTGAATGCTTTCAAGACTTGACTTAACAGCTAGCTTTAATAACGCAAAACTACTTAAGGTCTCTTTTTTCCCTTTTTTGCAATCTATTTAATTAAAATATTTTACGCTGATATCCTGGATTTAAAAGAATTATATTTATATAATTTTCAGAATTTAGTAGGGCTTATATCCAATTTAAAAGCTAATTACAATTTGTTTTTGAAAATGCTCTTGATTCATAACAGTAAGAATAAGTATTTCATTGTGTGACGATAGTAACGCTGTTTTATAGTTAGCTTTAAAATATTGTACTGTATAGAAGCCACTAGCAGTAAATCTGTTTTGCGTATCTGGATACAATTAAGAGATAAAATGGAATAATCTCATTATAGAGCTTCTTTGCTTTAATAGAATGTTCAAGAAATAAACAAACATCAGATTAGCTGAATTTCCTCTTGCTGCATGTCTGTAAGATGGTGTTTCTAATTGTACAGCCTGTGAATTTGTTCTATCTCCTTAAACTTAAAACCTGTCAAGTACATCTGACCATTGTTTTGTAGCAGTGGAACATGACAGCATTGACTGTTCCTTGCTTCCTTGAAGTACACAGTGAATTGAGACATGAATTGAAGCTAAAGCTAAATCCCAAATAAAACCCTGATTTGAAGCTTTGTAAAGTCAGTGGGAGTATTCTTACTGACTACGGCAGGTTTGGATGAGACATAAATGACAGCTATAAAATGCCACCGATCTCATCAGTGTACGTTGTAGTAGTGCAGTCATACGGTGGAACAAAAGGAATGAAAAGGCAATAAAAGCCTTTCAAAACATAGACCTTTTGGCAGAGCAGTCATGCTTTTAATAACAGGTCCATGGAAAAGAGAAAGGAGAGGAAAGGGTTTCAATGTCAACCTCTAAAATGCTGAATTTGGAATGTAGTAAAAATGTACTACGTCTGTCATTCATTTGAAACCTATATGAAAATGATATTTACAATTTATGTGTTGGGAGACCTGCTTTGAGTGTTGCAAAAGACTCAGATTGCTTTTAAAGTTTCTGAAAACCGCCTGAACCCTCATTCCTTTCCACCTCCCAGAAGAAAAAAAAAAATTACCTTTTCGTTAATAATAAATTGCTAGGAGTTTTGTCAGTGTCTAACTTACCATCTTCAAAACACTTCTGTTGTAAAGAGACCCCCCCAGACAGGGTATGTTGCCATCTCCCCAGTTTGCTTTTCCAAATTGCTAACAGAGGGCCTGGCTCCTAATGTTTTAGCTTTCAGTGTGTACCCAGCAGGTAAACACAGAAGTGGTTCTGTGCTTGTGTACTCCAGGCAGGTCCGTTGTACATATCCTTTTCCCCAATATTTTTTTTCGATTGCTGTCAGTGTATTTCAGCTTACCTTGCAGTGGACAGTAGAATCCTGTCCTTTTGTTTGTCACCTGCTAGCCTTTGAGAATAATTTCTGCATATCATTTTATTAGTCTTCAACTAAGATACGTGGCTATCTATTATTTAGTGCTGGGGTTTTGTTTACTTTCATTACAAATAAGTCTTTGCTAGCCGCATTCATTGTTATCTAAAAAGATCACCGCTTACTCTTTTAATCACAACAGGCGTAGTTGTCTGTCCTCTATCATACGTGTTTATCCAAATGATTTCATATGAATAAGATAAACAATTTCTCAGGAAACCAGCATTCTCTTAGGAAATTATGTCTGGTAGAAGATACTTTAAAATGTCATATTCTCACAGTCCTTACCAATTACCACAAGTATCTCTTCTTGGGGAAAGCTGTGGAAACAGCACTGTTTCTCAAGCAGACCCATGTGTTACGTGTTGGCAAGTACCAACTTTTTAATGACAACATCTGTTAATCATCTTTGAACAAAGCTTGGTTAGGAGAGATTTAAGAAGAGGAAAGCAAGCCATATAAATCTTGAGCATGGAGGGGGAAGTTGCTCTGCGATTTGCACTGCTTCAGTCCTGCAGGTTTCTAAGCAGAAGTGCAAAGCAACGTCTCGGCCTGAACCTCGCTTAGCGTGGCGTGGTCACGTAAGACTGCGCTTACGTGAACTTTGATCTCAAAATGAGTCCGCTGATGTAAGTGCTTATTCTTAAACCCTTACTGGACCGTGAAGGGTGGTGGTGTGGAGAAGAGCAGGGATTGCCCAGCGCCTTGCAGGATCAAGCCACAGGAGTATTTACTAGGAGAGGGATTAGGATCCTGCCGTTCGTGAAAAGAGAATGGCAGCAGATTCACATTGTGTACTGCCTCTTCGCTGTTCAGAGAAAAGGAAAAAAGTTTCAGTCTGTTCAGTGAAAAGTGAGAAGGCGGTTAGTGCAGGGGATTTCCCATTCCCAGCTGCGCTGCACAGCTGTATGTTGTGATGAGCCCCCACCCAAGCAGTGACAACCAACATTAGATCATTGTTCAGGGAGATCATCAGGTGATCAGGCATTAAACAAAGTTTAGAGAAAACGCTTAGACCACAGGCAGGGACCTGAGTCTAGTGCAAGCCTGAAGTGACCTATACAGAGCCCTAGGCTTTGACCTATACAGAGCCCTAGGCTTTGACCTATACAGAGCCCTAGGCTTGTGCTGGCAACCACCTCTTGGCATGGGTCCACACGCACAACTGTCTGCGGATGGGAAGGACACAGGTATTCCTCGGCTTGCTGACGAGCATGTGTCACTGTGCTTGATGGGAAGCTGTATGTTTTGTGTAGCCAGTGTAAGACAGAGATTAATCCAGGCTTCTTTCTGGAGGAGCCTGATACAACGTCCTGCGAAGTCATAGGGAGTGTAGCTAGTGCTGGACTACAGCTGTCTTCTTGCTGGCAAGGCAGACAAACAGCACGGGTTAAGGAAAACAGTATTTTAGCCTACCCTTGGGCCTTCCTCCGCTGAACAGAATAGACAAAGCCAAAATGCCTGGTGTACGTGAACTGCAGTCTTTGCACCAGATTCGCCCCTCTCTGGGTATAATCTATGTATGGGTCAAAAAACTCAGCCCTCAGATGGGGCATATATTAAGTCCATTCCTTCTGACATGCTTTGAAGCTTTAGAGCATTGGAAGACAGAGACATGGGGTTTACCTTTCCCCGGGCTGGCTGCCTCACACAGCGATGGGCTTCTGCTGTGTCCCCGTCCCAAAAGCAGTGGGTTTCCACTTGTTGGGGTTTTTTTTATTTATTCCATAAATACCAAATGCCTGACCAGTGCTGATCACCAGGCACAGCAGTTTTTAAACAATACTTTTAAATCGTATCTGTCGGTGCGGGCGTTCAATAAACAAACATATCCTGTGACATCCCAGCCAGACGTGGAACGTGACTATGTGTCAACTGTGCTTTATTATTGCGATTTTTGCCAAATGCTTATCTAATCCCAGTAACAGTTTTCTTCTGTACTTTTTCCTAATTCTTTCATGAAGCTCTCTCCCTTTAATAAGAACTTTCTGATTTCAGACATCTCTTTTAGTCGAATATCTTGCTTATTG